GATATGGGGCTCAAGTGGTGATCACCGGTCGTAATGCCGACAACTTGTCAGAAGTGGCCAAACAATGTGCGGCCGTTTCACCCAAAGGCCTGAAACCACTGGAAGTGTTGGCAGACGTGAGTAAAGACGTGGACTGTAAACGACTGATTGACAGTACGATCAGTGCATTCAAACGGTTGGATATTTTGGTGAATAACGCCGGAAAAGGAGTTTTTGCTCCGATCACTGATCCGTCTGTTCTCGACAAATACCAGGAAGTGATGGACACAAACCTGCGTTCAGTCGTCTATTTAACACATCTATCGGTCGAACACTTGGAGAAAACTAAAGGCAATATAATTAATATATCGAGTGTTGCGGGACTTAAACCGGTAAATGATTTGAGATTAAGTTTATATTTATATATTGAATTAATAAACTAATTATGCATTTTCATTTATATTATATTTAATCATGGTTTTTATAAAACAGTTTGGCAGAGCGTTTCTGTACTGTATGTCAAAGTGTGCACTCGATATGTTCACCAAATGTCTGGCTCTAGAGTTGGGCCCAAAAGGCATTCGCGTTAATGTTATCAAGTAATCAAACATTTGTTTTATTGATTATTCAATAGTAATTAACATATTGTGTCTATTGTATAGTCCGGCGGCCGTTAGGACTAACTTCCTTCAAGTCGTGGGCCTAACGAAAGAGCAATCGGAGGCCCGATATAGTGAAAGCGGTAACAAATACCCGGTCGGACGGGTCGGTGAGTCCATAGACATCGCGAACGCCATACTCTTCTTGGCCTCAGACGAGGCCTCGTTTGTGACGGGCGTTAACTTTGTGTCGGACGGCGGGGCTCTCAACGCCCCCTTATAAGTGTCTACAGTTATCACTAATAAATAATTATTGTGTTTTCCATTATTGATATATCAATTTGTAAAAGACTAATGTATTAATATTTTATTTAAATTCTTTATAAGACTACAAAACATAATATATGTGATGTAATACTATATTACTACTTTACAATTAATGCAAATAATGTAATACAAAATTTATTATTTGTGAAGTGTAATTAATATTTTTCATATTTTACTTTAAAAGTAACATTACAGTATTTAAATTTAAATATTGAGTCTAAAATGTTAAATCAGATGTAAATACTGTACTATGCATTCTAGTGTGTAATACAATGTATTAATTATTATTCTATTCTAACATTGGTCCCCAATTTATATTTTGTGTTTAAATCATAATGATGAAATTAACAATAAGCTTAATTATTAAATACTTTATTATGATTAGAAGGTATAATTTATACCGTATAAATAATAACATGCAAATTTATTAAATGACTTTTTCATGGACCGTAATTGAATGACATAATTTAGCCGACATTTTTTAATTATTAATTTTATGTGAAACTCTATTTATTAATATCTGCCATTACTAATGGCCCATTAGTGACCTCCCAATTAACAATGCTATTCAATGGGAATCCATATTTTTGACAAATAAAAATTACTGTCAATATTTAAACTGGCATGATTAAATGTAATTATATCGAATTATTATTTTATTTATTCAATCTTTGTAGCAAAACATTTAGCACATTTTATTATCTCAATGTCTAAAAGTGCCATGGTTATTGTGCCCATTTCGTGGTCAACCTCTTTGGGAGAGGAATATTCCGGAAGCAATAGAGATACAGACAAATGAATGGCATTCTATTGTCGGTCAATAAATACATAAAATTTTTATGTACCACAATTTTTTAAAAATGTGACTAAATTTGGTCATTAAAATTCGGTCCATGAAAAAAACCATATTATGAATGCAATGGTTATGTTGACCTTTTAATCGCGATCACTGATGGTTGAAATTTTAAAAATATTTTCAGTCTATTTTTATCCCACTTTAAGGAAAAGGAATAATTGATTAGCAAATATTTGAAAGAATTAACTCAATTATTCGTTTATAAATTGATTGACACATGTTTTGAAGAATTAAAAATACTTTTTATTTAATTGTATATTATTTAATGTCCGCTTTTTAATATCAATGTCTCAATTTAATATAAAAATTCTGGTTTATAAAATGGTGACGCCACCCCTCCCCTCGCATCTACAGAATCACTTGAATCAATACAATCATTAGAATACAGTTTGTTATATAGGGTTAAAAGAAATTATTCTAGTTACATAATCTATCACTGGATTCGCTTTAACCTATTATAAACTAGACAATATTATTGCTATTGGCATCACCATGGTTGCGTTCATTTTTCAATAAGTTTACACTCTCAATGTAGTGTATTACCACACAAACTATACCATATACAATGTGTATACAATATTGAATAAATCAATTATTAACCTCGGCGTTCAGCTCTTTGGCAGGTCTTTGGCTAGATTATTATAACATACATTAATATTTATATAATATCTAATGTAAGATGCAATATAATGCAATGTAAGATACTAAGACATTATATGACCTTGGTTGGTGCGGCTTATCTATGTACTGGATGTTACATACGGTGTTATTCAACGTTGTCGTTGAACCAAAATTTTAGGTAATTTAAAGTATAAGATGTTTAGTGCATTTTAAGAGTTTGAAAACAATTATATTTATACAATAATCTACTGTATATTAATTTAGTGCTTTAAATCAACTTGTCATAGATTATTTTATTCACATAGAAAATATTTAGTTTGGCCCAACACAACAGTTTATTTCAATATAAGAATTTATTCAAATATTAGTGCATTTTAAGTGTATGAAAACAACGGTATCATAACTATTGTACTAAAGTAACTAAACAATCAACTTAATATATTTATTGGTATATAAACTTCTTGAAGTAATTGATTTTTATAAATTATTTTATTTAAATCAATTTTATTGTCTTAACATAATGTCCACATCAAAGAACTTTGCGGGTAAAGTAGTGCTGATTACCGGTTCAAGTGGTGGTATCGGCGCCGTCACTGCTGTCGAGTTTGCCAGATATGGGGCTCAAGTGGTGATCACCGGTCGTAATGCCGACAACTTGTCAGAAGTGGCCAAACAATGTGCGGCCGTTTCACCCAAAGGCCTGAAACCACTGGAAGTGTTGGCAGACGTGTAGAGAGAGAGAGAGAGAGAGAGAGAGAAGCTAACAACTAATCACATATTAAATGCGTAAAACAAATTCAGTATTTTACTGTTACAAACATAACTTCCATTTAATGTTCTAATTATTAAATAAAAAATAACATTTTAAATAAAAAATATAAAACATAAATAAATTATTTAAAAAGCTATTTAAAAAAATAAATAAATACCCAATAAATGAAATGTATCAATGATACAGTACCATGGTTCATAAAAGTATATCAACAAAAACACGTAAAAATCTCAACACATATTCGACACTAAACTTCCTCCACATTAAAGGCAACGCTTTTATACTGAAAGTTAAGGTCATTATTATTAGCCGAATGTCTTTCTAACCACTCTTTGGCCACGATATCCATCGCTATACTACACACCAACGGATAGGCCGTCAGCAACAGTACGTACGCCCAGTGGGGCACCGGTCGGGTGTGATAGGGGTAGAGCCAGAAGCCGTGGCGAACGGCGTCGCGGCAGTGGTGGGTAAGGCTGGCCGTCAAGAATATCCAGCCGTACGTATTGGTCATCCAGTTGTGACGGATCAGACCGATGGTGACAATCGCCGCCGATATGGCCAGCGTTAGGCACGTGTTGTGGAGGAATGGCCGGCCGGACAGGTGGCCGATCACCTGTAGATCGCGGGTAACAAAAACAAATCAATCAATCGTTTAGCCGATCCACTCATACCTTAAGGTCAAAACTTCGGGCGCACAACACGTGATCCAAATCGATGGCAGCGGCGGTGAGGCCGCAGATGACGGCCTCCATGAGAACGATGTACTCGTAGACGGGATGTCCTTTCGTGACGTACACCAGAAGCCAACTGAAGACACCGATGAAGCCGTGGATCAATGTGTCGCTCAACGCTATGGCATAGGCCTCGACGCCTGTCGGTCGCCGTCCGATGGCCAACAGCTGATCCCCGATGGCCGACACCGAGACTATGGCAGCACAGATGGATCAGATAGATATCTATTAATATCACATTTTGGACGATATTGGGCTTACCCAACGTTTTACTATTAATAGTTTTAAAGTTTTTATAATATTTTCCCTGATTTTTTAGTTGTGTATAAATCCCTGATCTTTAGCCATAACTTTATATATAACTCCTGCTATTGTGTTCATTCACTTCAGTCTAGTTGCGGGTTTCATTTAATAAACATTGTTTTATTGTCAACCCTTGTGTCCACTCTTGTGACTCCGCGACCGGCATCGGGTGGAACGGAACCGGAGGGCGCCCTCCGTGTCATCCGTTACGTGAGTATCTCACAGGCACGCCGTTCCGCACCTGTGGCCACCACATACACGTCCTGCTAAGGCACCGCCGGACGTATCGATTGCCATCGCGTTACTCAGAGGCGTTGCCCTCTTTTCGTCAGGACCGGCCCCGTGGAGATACTGACATGACATGGCGCCAGACCCCACCGTTGACGACCATTCCCACTGTCAACACACCCACTTTCACCCGGGGGCTCCACCCAAATCAACAAACCCTCACATTTGGCGCAGTCGCAAAGGATACGATTCCCCTACGAGCACCACATTTACCACCACTTTACCGCCGACATCACCAACTACTCGTCACCTCACCCGCAAAAGATTGCACTCAACACACGGCATCACCTCACCACCAGATTTCGGTCACCACAACCACAACAATCTCACTCACCCACGGAACTCCCGAAATCCAGCGCCAACACTGCGCTCACACCACAATCTCACGAACGACTCCAACACAACCAATGGCACCCACACGCGGCAGAAACCACTCCCGCACACCCGCAACGATGCGGACACCAAATACAAGATCTACAAATCCAACCCAAACACCAGCACCCAATTCAAGAGCACAATCAGAAACCTCATCCACTATCACCGCAAATTCAGAGCCACCACTGGCACCACAAAACAGCAACCATCGCCCACGCATCCCAAAATTCAATGGACAACCAGATTCAGGGCTAACGATAGAAGCATTCATAAGAAACTTCGAACGCACGTTTCGCCACCTGAATCCGGATGATTTTATAAAACATTTATTTTTATACAGTATTACTGTATTATGTAGTGAATATCATTAATTTATTATAAAGTATAAGATCATTCTTGTGAAACAATGTAATTACTAATTTATTAACAATATAAATTTACAGTACAGTAAATTGTGATATCAATTATTAAGGGGCGTTGAGATTCCCGCCATCGGACACAAAGTTAACGCCCGTCACAAACGATGCCTCGTCTGAGGCCAAGAAGAGTATGGCGTTCGCGATGTCTATGGACTCACCGACCCGTCCGATCGGGTATTTGCCACTCAATCTACTATAAAAACCCTCCGATTGCTCTTTCGTTAAGCCCACGGCTTGAAGAAAGTTAGTCCTAACGGCCGCCGGACTATATAATAGACACAATATATTATATTATTATGATATTATTGAACGTTAAACAAAACAAATGATATAATCAAATATTGATTACTTGACAGCATTAACGCGAATCCCTTTTGGACCCAACTCTAGGGCCATACATTTGGTGAACATATCGAGTGCACACTTTGACATACAGTAGAGAGACCCTCTGACGGACTGTTTTATAAAAATGTACCATGATTAGATATTATAAATTATATGATTAATTAATTATTTGTTTCAATATAAATTTTATTAATGTAAACTCAATCATAGATCACTTACTGGTGAAAGTCCAAAAACACTCGATATATTAATTATATTGCCTTTAGTTTTCTCCAAGTGTTCGACCGATAGATGTGTTAAATATATGACTGAACGGAGGTTTGTGTCCATAATTTCTCGGTATTTGTCGAGAATATCCGTATCATTGATCGAAGACATAACTCCTTTCCCCGCGTTATTCACCAAAATATCCAACCGTTTGAATGCACTGATCGTACTATCAATCAGTCGTTTACAGTCCACGTCTTTACTCACGTCTGCCAACACTTCCAGTGGTTTCAGGCCTTTGGGCGAAACGGCCGCACATTGTTTGGCCACTTCTGACAAGTTGTCGGCATTACGACCGGTGATCACCACTTGAGCCCCATATCGGGCGAACTCGACGGCTGTTTGGGCGCCGATACCACCGCTCGAACCGGTGATCAAAACCACTTTATTTGCAAAATTTTTTGATGTCGACATTATTACTGTTTGCACGCAATATTGTTATTATGTTAAATAGAATTAAGCATAGAGGTTATGCGATTCAAATAAAATAAATAGTTTCAAAAATCAAATTATATAACAACTTAAATACACTGCAGATTGTTTAGTACAATAGTTATAATGGCTTTCATACACTTAAAATGCACTAATCTTTGAATAAATTCTTATATTGAAAGTAAGTGTTGTGTTTGGCATTGATTAGGAATATAACAGTAAACTGATTCAGCCAAGGGCATAACATTTTTATCCTATGCATTGCACAATAAGGTATAGTGCAGTAATATTTGCTTTATAATTTGCATTGTAAGAATGTTTCTATATTTATAAATTATAAAATACTGATTATGAGTTACATGTATAGCAATCATACAATTTAGTTTAATCAAACAATATTATACAATAATTGTGAATTATAGACTATAATTTATAGTAATTTATTTGGTGCTTTCATTCAATTCTTTATTCAATACTAAATTTGATTTTTTTTTGTTATTTTTAAAAGTTTTACATTTAATTCTTATTGAATGTTAGCAAAGAATGTCATCATATAAAATATGCAATATGTTACATAATTAATACAATAATTTATTGATATAGACACTTATAAGGGGGCGTTGAGAGCCCCGCCGTCCGACACAAAGTTAATGCCCGTCACAAACGAGGCCGATATTATATTTCTGTACTAGATAGGATCTAATAAAATGTTAATACAGTTTTGTAACTAGAATTAATTGAATTTATAGACTAAACGGAATTTTCCTATGAATAAAATAATTCTCTATATAATAAACTGTATTCTAATGGTTGTATTGATTTGAGTAATTTTGTAGATGCGAGGGGTGGAGGAGGGGTGGCGTTACTATTTTATAAACCATAAATTTTATATTAAATTGTGGTTAAAAAGCGGACCTAAAAAATCTTAAATTAAATTAATATATTTTTAATTTTTCAAAAACATGTGTCAATCAATGTATAAACGAATAATTGAGTTAATTCTAATTCGGAGTCAGAATCAAATTCACAACTAATGTTAATATAATTCATAATTAAAGTAATAATGTAAAGGTAAATAACTTTTACTCCCGGTATCTCTAAGCCAGGTGAAAGTTTGGAGGAACACGATATACGTCTATACATGTAAATTAGAAGTATTTTAAGAGATTTTTATTTAATTTTTAACACATTTCGAATCGTTTCTATTAATAACTTTCACAAATTTATTTAACAAAATACAAATTTTGTATTGTAATATTTGCATTATCTGTATTACATCAAATATAATATATTATTATGTTTTGTAGTGGATTATATTAGACTTTATAATATCAATAATGTAAAACAATAATTACAAATATTTATAAGGCTAACTATAGACAATAATAGACACTAATAGGGAGCGTTAAGAGCCCCGCCGTCGGACACAAACTTAATTCCCGTCACAAACGAGGCCTCGTCTGAGGCCAAGAAAAGTATGGCGTTCGCGATGTCTATGGACTCACCGACCCGTCCGACCGGGTATTTGCCGCCCATTTCAGTATATAATTCCTCACATTTCTCTTTAGTAAAGCCCAAAACCTGAAGGAAGTTAGTCCTAACGGCCGCCGGACTATACAATAGACACAATATATTAATTATTATTGAATAATCAATAAAAGTAATGATTGATTACTTGATAGCATTAACGCGAATCCCTTTTGGGCCCAACTCTAGCGCTAGACATTGGGTGAACATATCGAGTGCACATTTTGACATAGAGTACAGATACCCTCCGGTGGACTGTTTTTTGTATTAAATGTTATGTATAATTAGTTTATTAAATTAATACATTAATGTAAACTCAATCGCAGATCATTTACCGGTTTAAGTCCCGCAACACTCGATATATTAATTATATTGCCTTTAGTTTTCTCCAAGTGTTCGACCGATAGATGTGTTAAATAGACGACTGAACGCAGGTTTGTGTCCATCACTTCC